GTATATATATACAATGGAATATTACTCTGCCATCAAAAAATGAAATCTTGCCATTCGCAACAATGTGGATGGAACTAGGGGGTATTGTGCTAAGCAAAATAAGTCAATCAGAGAAAGACAATTATCATATGGTTTCACTGATATATGGAATTTAAGAAACAAGACACAGGATCATAGGGGAAGAGAGGAAAAAATGAAACAAGACAAAATCAGAAAGGGAGACTCTTAATCTTGGGAAACAAACAGAGGGTTGCTGGAGGGGAGGGAGGTGAATGGACGGGGTAACTGGGTGATGGACATTGGGAGGGTATGTGTTGTAATGAGCACTGGGTATTATGTAAGACTAATGAAGCACAGACCTGTACCCCTGAAACAAATAATACATTATATGTTAATTAATTGAATTTAAATTTTAAAAACACAAGAAAAAAGGGGAAAAAAACCCAAAAACCTCTGAGAAGCCCTAAAAACATGGCACTCAAATTTGAAGAGCTAAATGTTAATATTTATTAAAAAAACAACAACAACTCTGAACTGTGGTTCTCAAACTTTGGATTCTCAGGACCCCTTTATAGACTCAAAAATTATTGAGAATCCTAAAAGGCTTTTTTTTATGTGGGTTCTATCTACAACTACTTATTGTATTAGAAATTACGACTGAGAACATTTAAAAATTATTTGCTTACTAATCCGTTCAAATAACAATAAATCCCTTGTGTCAATATAAATAACAATTTTAATATGAAATTACCACATTTTCCAAAGGAAAAAATTAGTGAAAAGAGTGGCACTGTTTACATTTTTGTAAATATCTGCAATGCTGACTTCATAGAAGACAGCAGAATTCTCACATCTGCTTCATACATTGGTCAGACATAAAAGCAATGAATGACACACAGTTTCTAGAAAACTCCATGGGAAGCACTTGTGAAAAAAATGAGAGTGGCAAGGTCATAACATCTTCCTATTCCCATGAAAATACCTTGACCTCATAGACCCACCAGACCACACTTTTGAGAAAATATACGTAGAATTAATGAAAAGCAAAACTAAAAGCGGAGTAAGGATGATTTGGGGATATTAAAGAAATTGATTCGTCAAGATAAAACAAAGAACTTTACTTTACTCTTTATTTTTTTAAAGAAAGCTCAAGAAAAAAATAATGTACTGTGATAAACTTCTATACAGTTGTACTAATTCATTCAGAGTTTACCAATACAAAATTTGTCATGATTTGGCTAGCAGCTATTTTGGAAGACAAAATACAGACCCTTAAGTTGACTTAAGGTCATCTCTGCTTAGGTTAGCGGTTCTCAAAAGTGTGACCCTCAGCCCAGGGCACTGGGGAGACTCAGAATCTTGTTAGAAATGCGCACTCTTGAGGAGCACTAGTTTAGATAATCCTGATTTCTTTCTGGAGGAAAGATTGCAGAGATAATTTTTTAAACATAAGAGAACAATATTTTCCTGAGAATCATTAAAAAATAATAGAACTATTTACTTGCAAACAATACTTGTACTAATTACGGATTCCTGAAAAAAAGTCCTCTAAGGACATCCTCAAGGGAACACAATCAGCTCAAGTTATAAGAGTTTTAAAATAAAAATACATTTTCCTAGCTCAGATTAGCCTTCTTTCTAAGTAGTCAGAATTAAAAAGGTTATACTATAAATATTTTAAGACAGGCCTACAAAACTGAAATAGATATGCTCTGGCTTGTGAAAAGGATCACTTCCAGGTTGTCTGCCAAGAAAGCCATTTGCACTGCAGAGAATACATATTACAGCCTCTCCAAACCTATTGATATGAGGCTCTCATGCTGTTTTTAACAGATGTTAACTGGACTTATTGTGGTGATCATTTTGCAACATATACAAATATCAAATCATGCTACACACCTGAAACTATGTTATATGTCAATTACAGCTCAATCACAAAGTTTATAATGTCATAAAATGAATATGTGATATAACATAGGTTTGACCGTGTAAACCAAATATGAAATTGCATTATTTAGTTTCATTGTTAGGCAGATGTGGCATGAAAACATTGAGATCCCCACCTAAAAGATCCTTTCTCAAGTGGTGCTTCAGATGATTGATCAGAGGTACCCAGAAAATTCCCACGTTAATTTTCACCTCTACCAAAATAGTCACAAGAAGCCAGAAATGGCCCTTCTTTAATCTGAGTACCCAAGAACTGGAGAAACTTCTCCAAACCTGTGGTACATTTTCCATTCTCTTTCTTTTCGTTAATAATTCTTTCTGCCAACAAATGTGAGTGCGGTGTCTAAATGTGCATCAGCAGACTGTTAGCAACGCATGAAATTCTGCGTTCAAGATTCCGAATTTGTGCCGATACCTTTTTGATATCCGCCGTTACCACTTCCCCGGCGTGCTCCATTAACCAAGGCGTCTCAAACTGAGGGGGGGCATCATTTTGCTCCTGGCTCCTCGCCACCTGCTGCCGAAGCCTTTCGTTTTCCTGTTTGACTTCCGTGACCTGCTGCTGGAGTTGGGTGTTCTCTGCCTTTTCGGTATCAGATATGAGCTGCAAATGAGTAACTTGAATGATCAGCTTCTTGAGTGTCGATTTCAGTTTCTGTCTTTCTTCCAGGTTTTTCTTCTTGTGCTTCTGAAATTCCTCACGTAAAGACAGGAACTCTTGTTTTCGGGCCTTTTTCTCCCTTTTCAGCAAATCCAGAGCGGAGGTGGTGGCCTTTTCCAGCTCCCCCTTGAGTTGCTGCAGCTTCTCCACCTCTTTTTCTTTCTCGCTTAGGGTTCTGTCCATATCTAGGCACTGACTGACAGTTTTAGCTTTCTGTTGCATTTCAGTCATGTACCTTTCCTGTAGGTGAACGTAATTGCCCTTGATCTTCTTGAGCTCCAGCTGTAAGGTTTCCTTTTCATTCCTAGCTTCCTGAAGATGCTTTTGGGTGTGAGTTAAGACCTCGTGCAAATTCTGCAGCGTCCTGTCAGTGTCACTCTTCTCTAGCATCACTCTGTATTTGTCTTCAATTAATTCTTCCATCTTGGCCTTCAGCTTATTTATGATGTCCATGAACACCTGCTGTTTGGTAGTCTGCTTCTGTAGTTCTTCAATCTTCTTCTCTAAATACTTGTTGCTACTCTGCAGGTCTTGGATCCGAGTCTGCTGCTGTTTGTTAGTGTGCTGTAATTTCTGTAAGACTTCATTTAAAGCCATGTCCTCTTCCAGAGGCTGTGAGCTTTCCAAGCTCTGCTTCGGGTCGGGCATCTTGCTGTCCTCCGGAGATGCTCCACCACTCCAAGAAATGCCTGCAGGAGACCAAGGTGAGGCCGTCCCTGGCCTGTCCACGTCCCGCACGGTGACCTCCTTATGGTGACAGACTGGCATCTCAGGAGCATCCCAAAAGCTCTGTATCCCTTTTGAAGACACTGCGATCTATAAATTAGAGTACATAAGTGTGAAAAAGAGTATAAAGATGGTAAGTTTTGAAATCATATATAGCTGGCCTTAAATCCTAGATCTCTAGTTTGCTTTCCTCAGCTATAAAAGAGCAATGATAATGTCTGCTTCCAATAATAATACTTACTTGACAAACATACTTAAGTAGTAACTGCTAAATGTATATATGGCACCCAATAGCACAGCAGAGCAGTAGATATATGATAGAGGTATGGATCACATTTACTTTTTCAGAAGAAAAACTCAGCTTTGATACTCTCACCAACTTTCTATGATATGAAATTTTCTGAACACATGTGAGGTACTTTCTTTGACTTCAAATGAATTAAAACAAATTTATCAATTACCCTAGAGTCTGTGAGGCCTCTTTCGAATGAAGATTTCTTTTATTGCTCATTAAATCATTATCTCATGGCTATGACTCCTGTGAATGTAAGAATGTCAGATGAACATGCCTTGTGATTGATTTTCTCCCACAATACAGGTTTTGGGGGCTTTTTAAAAGAATAATAAGTTGTAGTAAGAAAATGCTCAAATGAATATGATATTTAAAACTCTGTAAAAGGGGGTGCCTGGGTGGCTCAGTTGGTTAAGCATCTGCCTTCGGCTTGGGTCATGATCCCAGGGTCCTGGGATCGAGTCCTGCATCAGGCTCCCTGCTCAGCGGGGAGCCTGCTTCTCCCTCTCCCTCTGC